GTCATTTAATAAATTCCCCATTTGGCTATACCAATCAATACTAACACAAACCTGAAGCCTATCCAGAAGGATGGACTCCGAAAAGAAGGAGCAGACTCTGTCCCATGCTGAGGTCGATGGCTCTGCATTAGAAAGCAAAGAGGAACTAGGCCCACCGGGGTTGCCTCAAGAGTTTGAAGATGTGGAGAAGCATTGGGGCACAAGATACCCCTCTGCCTCCGCTTAGCTGGAGTTTCAATGTAGACACCACGGGCATTCCAGCAGCTCAACAGTTCTCGGGGTACAAACAGAGTTTCTCCAAAAACAAGTGGTCAAATTAATTGCCAAGAAAAATAGGGGACTGGAGAAGACAGAAAGAATCTGTAAGATTCTTAAGAGCCTTAATAGATCAACCAAGCCAGCAAGTGTTGTGGTGGTTGAGGTGTTGGACTCCCATATGGCTCAACAAGGTTTGAATCCAAGACCTGGCGGCCTGCTTTCTCACTTTCCCTTTCTCTCTGTCTCTCTCTGGTGAGTATACATGCCCTATCACAAATTAAGTAATAGATAACATTAAACAAAAATTTTAAAAGAGATCAACCAACTGCAACGTGTGGATCTCATTTGTACCTTGATTTCAACAAACTAAAAAACTTGAGAAAGTAAAAGAAAAGTGAAAGCTGATATTAGGTATTTAACATTCAAAAATTATTTTTCTATACTATACACTATACACACATACCTATATATACATTTTTTAAAAAAATGATAGCAGAGGGTGAGTCTGGGTATTCTGTATTGGTAGAAAGTCTTCTTCAAAACCCTCAGTGTTGGGACCAGCAGTTGGGGTAATGGCTATGTCACTGGACTCCCATGTAGTTGACCATAGTTCAAGCCCCGAACCCAGTGGCTTCAACTCCCACCAGGCACGCGTGCGCGTGCGCGCGTGCCCAAGATCCCAAAAGGAGAATGGAGGAGAAGGAATTGTGGTGTGGCCATCCCCCCTGGGGGATATTTCTCACTTTCTGTCTCTCTGTCTCTGTCTTTCTGGTGAGCGCAAGCACCCTATAAAAAAAAAAAAAATCAAAACCCTCAATGTCTGCAACTATTCCAATAAGTGACAAAACAAGAAACTCGACCAGTCAATCTCTAGTGAAAAAAATCAGGAGCAGCAACTTCAGTTTAGCTGAGAAGCTCACTGTTTTCTTGATATTTATGAGTTGTAGTTATAGAAATGTTTCATGCCAGTAAGCATTCCTGGTTTGGGTAAGACTTGCTACCCAACCACTTATGGGGTCTTTAAGGAACAGGCCACCCCAGCAATCCAGCATCTAGACAATGCTGATGACCAAAAGGGCCACCTCTGCAGGGACAAGGAAAAGACCACCAGCCAGAGGAAGTAAGGTCACCGAGCATGGGGCAGAAAAGAGATGGCAAAACCCTTCGCGCTGGGCTGGACACCATGTCCAGAATGAGCTCTTCTAGAAGGAAGGAAGGAAACCCCCTTCCACTCCCTGACCCACCAGGCTCCCTTCCCAGCCCACTCTTCCTTCCCCAGGAAGCAGTGCAGTTCTCAGGAGGCTGCAAATACCTAAACTTAAGATTAGAACAGCATGGCTATGAGAGCCTCTTGGATTCCTGATACCTGAGATCTCCCCTTCCCTTTACTTACAAGAGGTGAGAACAGTAAGACTCTAACCAAATACCCAAGACAGTCAGCCTGAGATGACTTCATACTCTCTGCGATTTCTACTCCAATAGCTTAATGGCAAGGAGAAGGTCTTCTGTTGGGTATCATTGCTAAGAAAATACAGTTAAAAATACTGGGTCACTGGAAAAGTCATGACGTGTCTTTCTATGCAAAATGCGTCATGACTTTTCTAACCACCCAATAATAGAATTAATTGGTATATGATATTTATACTGGTGGCTGAAAAAATTGCTTCCACAATTTGGGAGGTGGTGGAAGCTACAATGATTTTGGCAATTACAACAATCAGTCTTCAAATTTTGGACCCATGAAGGGTGGCAACTTTGGAGGCCGAAGCTCTGGCCCTTATGGAAGTGGAGGCCAATACTTTGCCAAACCACAAAATCAAGGTGGCTATGGCGGTTCCAGCAGCAGCAGTAGCTATGGCAGTGGCAGAAGGTTTTAATTAACTGCCAGGAAACAAAGCTTAGCAGGAGAGGAGAGCCAGAGAAGGGACAGGGAAGCTACAGGTTACAACAGATTTGTGAACTCAGCCAAGCACAGTGGTGGCAGGGCCTAGCTGCTACAAAGAAGACATGTTTTAGACAATACTCATGTGTATGGGCAAATAATACGAGGACTGTATTTGTGACTAATTGTATAACAACAGGTTATTTTAGTTTCTGTTCTGTGGAAAGTGTAAAGCATTCTAACAAAGGGTTTTAATGTAGAGGTTTTTTTTTTTGCACCCATGCTGTTGATTGCTAAGTATAATAGTCTGATCATGATGCTGAATAAATGTGTCTTTAAAAAAAAAATAGCTTCCACAAGAACAAAGTTACAACATTTTAATAATTTAAATAGAACCAACTTTAGAAACATACATACACAAACATAAAATTCAAATCCACAATTTCATTGAACAATGTATTTAAATGCATCAAAATCTAAAAAAAAAAACAAAAAACAAAAAAAAACCCAAAGTGGACTGAGGGTCATGGACATCAAAGGTCATTCTGAAGTGCTACGGATCAGAGCAAAATAGACAAGATCATTACTTCGCATGAATCAAGAAGAAACAGCCTGGGAATACATGAGACCCTCATAAGAACACTGCTAGGGAATGTTAGACCCAAGAGTCATTAAGCTCGAATACAGATACCGGAAAGATACACGAGTTCTTTGGCCATCCAAGTCACACTTGTTTCTACTTTAAAATACCAAACATGAGTTGAGTGCTAGAATTCTGTCTATAAATATCTGGATGTTAAACAGCCTAATGTTCATAACCAGGTAAGATTAAAAGAGGAATTCAAAATCAACCACCACTGTGCTCTGGAAACTCTAAATACAGAAAAAGCTGGGGCACACTAGCAGGAGGGAATCACACCAGGCGCATGTGTGTGTACGTGCGTGCCCAAGATCCCAAAAGGAGAATGGAGGAGAAGGAATTGTGGTGTGGCCATCCCCCCTGGGGGATATTTCTCACTTTCTGTCTCTCTGTCTCTGTCTTTCTGGTGAGCGCAAGCACCCTATAAAAAAAAAAAAAATCAAAACCCTCAATGTCTGCAACTATTCCAATAAGTGACAAAACAAGAAACTCGACCAGTCAATCTCTAGTGAAAAAAATCAGGAGCAGCAACTTCAGTTTAGCTGAGAAGCTCACTGTTTTCTTGATATTTATGAGTTGTAGTTATAGAAATGTTTCATGCCAGTAAGCATTCCTGGTTTGGGTAAGACTTGCTACCCAACCACTTATGGGGTCTTTAAGGAACAGGCCACCCCAGCAATCCAGCATCTAGACAATGCTGATGACCAAAAGGGCCACCTCTGCAGGGACAAGGAAAAGACCATCAGCCAGAGGAAGTAAGGTCACCGAGCATGGGGCAGAAAAGAGATGGCAAAACCCTTCGCGCTGGGCTGGACACCATGTCCAGAATGAGCTCTTCTAGAAGGAAGGAAGGAAACCCCCTTCCACTCCCTGACCCACCAGGCTCCCTTCCCAGCCCACTCTTCCTTCCCCAGGAAGCAGTGCAGTTCTCAGGAGGCTGCAAATACCTAAACTTAAGATTAGAACAGCATGGCTATGAGAGCCTCTTGGATTCCTGATACCTGAGATCTCCCCTTCCCTTTACTTACAAGAGGTGAGAACAGTAAGACTCTAACCAAATACCCAAGACAGTCAGCCTGAGATGACTTCATACTCTCTGCGATTTCTACTCCAATAGCTTAATGGCAAGGAGAAGGTCTTCTGTTGGGTATCATTGCTAAGAAAATACAGTTAAAAATACTGGGTCACTGGAAAAGTCATGACGTGTCTTTCTATGCAAAATGCGTCATGACTTTTCTAACCACCCAATAATAGAATTAATTGGTATATGATATTTATACTGGTGGCTGAAAAAATTGCTTCCACAATTTGGGAGGTGGTGGAAGCTACAATGATTTTGGCAATTACAACAATCAGTCTTCAAATTTTGGACCCATGAAGGGTGGCAACTTTGGAGGCCGAAGCTCTGGCCCTTATGGAAGTGGAGGCCAATACTTTGCCAAACCACAAAATCAAGGTGGCTATGGCGATTCCCGCAGCAGCAGTAGCTATGGCAGTGGCAGAAGGTTTTAATTATTAACTGCCAGGAAACAAAGCTTAGCAGGAGAGGAGAGCCAGAGAAGGGACAGGGAAGCTACAGGTTACAACAGATTTGTGAACTCAGCCAAGCACAGTGGTGGCAGGGCCTAGCTGCTACAAAGAAGACATGTTTTAGACAATACTCATGTGTATGGGCAAATAATACGAGGACTGTATTTGTGACTAATTGTATAACAACAGGTTATTTTAGTTTCTGTTCTGTGGAAAGTGTAAAGCATTCTAACAAAGGGTTTTAATGTAGAGGTTTTTTTTTTGCACCCATGCTGTTGATTGCTAAGTATAATAGTCTGATCATGATGCTGAATAAATGTGTCTTTAAAAAAAAAATAGCTTCCACAAGAACAAAGTTACAACATTTTAATAATTTAAATAGAACCAACTTTAGAAACATACATACACAAACATAAAATTCAAATCCACAATTTCATTGAACAATGTATTTAAATGCATCAAAATCTAAAAAAAAAAACAAAAAACAAAAAAAAACCCAAAGTGGACTGAGGGTCATGGACATCAAAGGTCATTCTGAAGTGCTACGGATCAGAGCAAAATAGACAAGATCATTACTTCGCATGAATCAAGAAGAAACAGCCTGGGAATACATGAGACCCTCATAAGAACACTGCTAGGGAATGTTAGACCCAAGAGTCATTAAGCTCGAATACAGATACCGGAAAGATACACGAGTTCTTTGGCCATCCAAGTCACACTTGTTTCTACTTTAAAATACCAAACATGAGTTGAGTGCTAGAATTCTGTCTATAAATATCTGGATGTTAAACAGCCTAATGTTCATAACCAGGTAAGATTAAAAGAGGAATTCAAAATCAACCACCACTGTGCTCTGGAAACTCTAAATACAGAAAAAGCTGGGGCACACTAGCAGGAGGGAAAGATCAAAATAAGAAATGAAGGGAAACACACTGCCTCTGCCATCCCGGGCCCTCACAGACGCCACCACAGCGGCAGAGACAGGACTACCGCAGTTAAAGCAGGCACTGTAGTTCGTTCTTTTGAAGCTAATGAGATAAATCTGCAGAGCACTGGATCAACCAAATGAGAGACGTCGTCATGGGTCGACTGTGTGTGTTTTTTGGGGGAGTTGGGGTTTTTATTTTAATGTGGCCCACATTGCCCCAGTGGAGGAGATTTTAAGATAAGGCAACAGCTTCCTGGACTAAAATGCTTAAACGGCCTGTATAGTGTGCCCTGACGACGAGACCCACTGCTAGGGAATATTAGACCCAAGAGTCATTAAGCTTGAATACAAATGACACTGGAAAGACATATGTATGGGAGCCCAGGGGAACCCAGGCCAGGGGCTCCCCAGTGCGTTTCCACAGACAGCAACAACACAGTTTTTGTTAGACATTGGATGCCATTTACAGTGCAGATCATCAGTCCACTCCGTGTTCTCAGGTTCACGGACGCTATAGCTCTGCAGGCCTGAAAGTGAACAGCACTCTCCAAAGATTCTGGAAAGACTTAGGAAAATATTTCATAAGATCAAAAAAAAAAAAAAAAAAGTTTTGAGGCATCAACAAGGAACACATGACGCAAGCTCCCATGAAACTTCTGAAGGTAAAACGGTAAATGGCTAGTTATTTGCAGTGTCAGGACTAGGTCTTATACAATAATGGCTTTTTAAAAAAAAATAATAATAATAATAAAAATAAAAAGGCCGAAGTAGCCACACTCTGAGTGGCATAATGTTCTCATCAAGGCACAGAGAGTAAAACGTCTAAATCCCTGTATGTGGACAGGGGGCTACACTCATAAAGGACTCCAGGGCCTGATTCCCCGTACTTGAGTTGAAAAAGAAGAGAAGGTCGAAATGTGCCTTTTCCACTCATAGTCATGTCAAAATATAGGTATTTTACCACCTTCTCTTCGTAACTAATGTTACAACTGGTGAGTTAAAAAATAAATATATAAAAAATAAAATGTCACTGGTAGTTTAATAGCCATGATCAGAGTGACATGAGAGCGAGGCCGCGCACTGTGGAGAGCGTGCTCAGCACTAGGCATCTCTGTAGGAGAGGAAGGTCCCCTCCCGCTCCAGGGCTCCTCTGCAATGAGTCCAGCTACTACACAATTTCAACAAAATGCCCGATCGCTCTCCCTTCCCAGCACCCTCACGTTATCTGACTGGCAGTGGTTTTGTGCATGTAACTTACACTGTTGGCAGGTCACTTTAAAGTTGCCACTAAAAGGTGGCAAGAAGACAGTAGAGGGCTCACCCCTTCATTCGTTATTTTTATTCGACTTTTTATAAATTATTTTTAAATACAATTAGTGACAACAAACAATGCCGACGTTTGTAACAACCGAAACGGAATGTACAAACAAGACCGGACGGATGATGCTACCGGTGACCGGCGCGACCTGCCAATCATCCTGCACGCGTCGCCGTTCAGCTCCGAATGAGAGTCAGAAACTCCTCCCGAGTCTTTGGATCTTCCCGGAACACGCCCAACATGGTGCTGGTCACAGTTTTGCTGTTCATTTTCTGTACCCCTCTCATGACCATACACATGTGTCTACAAAACAAGGCAACAAAGGTCGTCGAAAGGAGAGAGGGTTACTGGTTTGGTTTTTAGGTAGAAAGCAGGCCCGAAGATTCATCTCAGTGCGGTTACTACGTGTGCCAAAATCTCCCTTCTTACACAAATGTTTCTAAAACGTTTTTAAAAGTTTATCTTAATAGTGTTTTTCTTCTCAGTGGCCAAGTGCCCATGTATCCAAAAAGGGGGAAATAGAATCTTCTTTCTGGGTGAAAATAACATCAAGAATCTAGGGAACCAGCAGTTAGCGTAATGGCTTTGTCGCTGGACTCCCACGTAGCCGACAGCGGTTCACATCCCGGACCCAGTGGCTTAAAACTCACACCGGGCGCGTGTGTGTGCGTACCCAAGATCCCGAGAGGAGAATGGAGGAGAAGGGATTGCAGCATGGCCATCCCTCCTGGGGGGTGATTTCTCACTTTCTGTCTCTCTGTCTCTCTCTGTCTGGTGAGCACACGCGCCCTGTAGTGAAAACAAAAAAAAAAACTCTTAAAAAAAAAAAAGAAATTCTGAATTCTCACTTCAGGACCAGCGAGGCACTATGCTACCTCAGGTGGGCAGAGAAATACTCAGGTATGCTGGTCTTACCAGGCAGATTCCAGACAGGTAAGTAGCCAGTGAGTCTGAGCAACCTGGTGAAGTCAGGCACCAAGCACAGAACAGACCTCACGCCATGCCATAGAATGAACACTAACTTGGCCTACCCAGTGTGTGCGACTCTCATAACTTACCCTAACTTAAAGAATTGTCAAAAAAAAAAAAAAAAAAAAAAGAATTGTCTGCAGTTGCCTTTTGTACCAATTCTTAGCTGTTTTTACTTTGTTTGTTTATTGTTTCTTTTTATTTATTTTTTTGCTATAGGGTATGCTTGCTCACCAGAGACAGACAGAGCAATAGGGAAAGTGAGGGGGGAGCGGAGATGGCTATGTCTTATCCGCCCTCCTCCACTCTCATCTCAGGATTTTGGGCATGCATGCACATGCACTCAGCATGATTCTCAAGCCACTGGGCCCAGGACTCAAACTGCAAAGCCATGGAGGATCCAGTGCCTTAACCTCCATTGCCATCTGATGGCCCCTGTTTTTTAAATGTGGGGAAAAAAAGTAGAAAAATTCTTAAAGCACCAAAGAGCTGAAGAAGAAATCAAGAGAAGACAAAATGCTTGGGCAAATCCCTGTAGCTACACTTAGAACTCCCTATCCCCACAGCCCCCCTGAAAGGAAAATCTCTCCCAAACCCTGGCCCCTCTATCAGCACCACAGTAAATGGAAGAGGCCAGATGGCTTTAGGCTCTGAATGGAACCCAACAGCGACTGGGTCACCTGAGTGGCACCACCTCGGGCTAGAAAAACCAAGCAGCACTAAATCTGCTGCTATGCACCACTGTGACATTAAAGGAAGACACAAACTTACGTGGCTTCAACCACTACCCCGACTCCAGCAGGTCGCAAGGCTTCTGTGATTGCCACGGCAATTTGTTTCGTAAGGCGCTCTTGAACTGTGAATATGACAAGTTTAGTTTGAATCTAACATAAACAGCTGGAAGTTTTTTAATTTCTTTTTTTTTAAAGAATTATTTTATTTTTAACTTTATTTATTAATTTGTTTATTTCAATTTGACCAGAGAGGGACAGAGGGAGAGAGAGAGAAAGCAAGCCGCCAGGTGCAGGACTCAAACTGTGGTCGGCCATGTGGGAATCTAGCACCTTTAGCCACCATGCCACCTGCAAATCTTAAAAAGCAGGCTTCTGTGAGTTTTAAGAGCCCGGACACACCAGCGCTGACTGGTTTGCTTTGTCTGCTTCATAGCCGGCCTCTGTTCCACCCCCTCACCTGCACTACAGGTGCTGAAGAGATTTCAGAAACCCTGGAGGCTTTCCAGCTGCACTGGCGGAGGGAGTAGATGGCAATTCTCTCTGACCCGGGCAGTAAGACCAACAGAATACGAGTCAGCAAGTACTTCCACGAGGGAAAGCAGAGAAGTTAATAAATGGCTTGAAACAGGATTAATAAAGGGGCCAGTTCAATGATCTAGTTATACTAATACTCAGAGGGAGGATGAAAACCAACAATTTAACCTAAATAATGCAGGCCCTATGCTCAATAAAACAACTCATTTTCAAAAATATGCAAGACACTCACTCAGTACTGCATCTGTTTGTAAACTGACAAAACCTCGCAGTGTCCACCAGTGCAGGCGCTGATTAATGAAGGTGTGGCACATGCGTGCAGTTCTAAATGGCCACCACAACGGCTGAGATAGTTACACGTATGTGGAAAAAATGTTCCAGTTGTTTAGTGAAAACAAACAAACAAAACGGATAGAAAAAAGTGGGAATGATTACCTATTACACGAGCCTATTTTTGTTTATATATAATAAAAATAAACTAATTTAGAGCTGCCCCCTTAGCCTAGAGAACCAAATCCCACATGGCTGACTGTGGTTCAAATCTCAGCCCCAGTGGCTTGAAAAACACAATGGGCGCATTTGCACCGAAAGGCCTGACAGCATGGAGAGATTAAGAAGAAGGGATTGCAGCATGACCACATTTCACTGGGGGTGCTTAATCCCTGTCTCGCTCTCTCTCTCTCTCTGGCAGGTGCACACATCTTTTGGTCATCAGAAAAAAATAAAAATAAAAAGTAACCTGATTTGAAAAGAGTATGTGCATGAAAATGAAGGAATATGCAAATACAACAGTAATTTCTTCCTTTTGAAATGCAGTAGACTTTCTCTTTTAAATTCCTGAGATAGGGGCCAGCAGATGGCATGGTGGTTAAGAGTGCTGGACTCCCACATGGCCAACCACAGTTCGAGTTCTGGACCTGGTGGCTTGCTTTCTCACTTTCTCTCTCTCTCTCTCTCTGTTTCTCTCACTCTGTCCCTCTCCGGTCAAATAAAAATAAAAGCAAATAAATAAATAAAGTTAAATAAAATCATTATTTTTTTAAAGAATTATCTTCTTTAATTAACTTTAATTAATTGATTAATTCATTCATTCATTTTAATTTGACCAGAGAGGGAGGGGAGTGAGTAGGAGGGGAATAAGTTGCCAGGTCCACGACTCAAACTGCAGTCAGCCATGTGGGAGTCCAGCGCCCTTAACCACCACACCACCTGCCAGCCCAATAAAATAATTCTTTAAAAAAATAACAAATTCCTGAGATTTTAGTGTTTATATCACATATATTAGAACAAAAAATGCTTTGTATGTAAGAAAAGTATTTTCTGTAAATAAAATATTGTAAAAGTTTACCTTGTAGTCTTCTGCTATAGATTTCTACAATCCTAGAAAATAAAGAATTGTTTTAGTTAATCATAAATTGTTTTAAATGAAATGGGTAAGGCTTCTCATAAGATAAAAGGATTTTCTTTGTGAAATAGCGGGGTACAGGCCACGGGTAATGCTTATGGGACGAGGATAGACAGATGAAAGCACCGTGGGGCACTGAGTCTCGAGGAGACCCGACCACTCTACGGAGCGGTGCTCCCTTACATCCCCAAACAGAGAGGGGATTCGAGAGTCTCCAAGTGCAACTGTCACTTAGGAAAAGCACAGAAACGAGTAGCAGAATTTGAAAGCTCCCGAGTCATCAATGTTAGGCCAAATCTCAAGTGTTCTAATTAATCAGATTGTTTTATCAGAGTGTAAAGCTCAATTTAATAATAAAAAAGACAATCACACCATGGTCAGTGACAACACTACTAAACCTATTAGTGTGACCAGATTAGAACTGATTAGACTTCTTCAGACACCTCTTCATAAAATAGGTTTATCTAAGTACTTAATCTAATCAGCCCCTAAAACAAAAGGCTCCTGGATCTAAGCTTCTAAGACAATCTGTCAAGTGATGAGTTTTCCCCTTTCAACGTCTTTTATTTATGAAGCGCAAAGATGACCACGGGACTCACCCATTTAAGGATGATGATTTGCACTTAGGACCTTTCCTTTAAAATTCACCTTTTGCTCATCAGTTGGGACTGTACGGATCGCCTTCCCTAACAGGCGCTGTATGGCTGTCCCCGACTATGCTCCTTTATACCCAGTAACAGCAATGAAGTCAGTAAAAGGTACACCACTCCGCTCTCCACTCACCCGAGAGCTCCCTAACAGCAGGCATCACCCCGATTCTTTGTGTCCTCGGTCGGCATGCAATATTGAAGGAACATGACTATGTGTATATTTCATAAGAACCTGAGAAAGGATGGTCATCAAGCTCCCGTAGGAGCTGTGTCATATGTCTTACCAGGTCAGATTTCTGTTTACATTACAAATTTGATCGTTTTTCAGGTGATTCCTTTGATATATAAGGATTCTTTCAAAAGAATTATTCTACTTAACTTTATTATTTTTTAATTTGACCAGAGAGACAGAGAGGGAGAGAGAGCACCTTAATCACCATGCCACCTGCTGTCCCCATATACAAGGATTTAAAAGTTAGCAATGTTTCCCTTTCTATACTCATTTTTTCCCTTGAGTAGAATTTCAGGTGCCATACTAGACAACAGTGATAATGCTGGCCATCCATGTTTTACGCTATACTTTACGAGGAAGATCGCCCACTTTTCACTGTCGTCCACGTCACCTGCTGTTTGACAGATAGCTGCTCACAAGCCAGGAGGGCCATTCGTGAGAATTTCTACTGAGCACCTACTATGCAGATGATGATGTAGTGAACCTATTTCCCGTGCTCCAAGAGTTTATCATTTCCTTCTTTTTTTTTTTTTTTGGGGGGGGCGGTGGGGGAGGTTGCTATAGGGCGCATGCATTCACCAGACAGACAGAGAGAGAGAGACAGAAAGTGAGAAATCACCCCCCAAGGGGGATGGCCACGCTGCAATCCCTTCTCCTCCATTCTCCTCTCGGGATCTTGGGCATGCACGCACACGCGCCCAGCATGAGTTTAAGCCACTGGGTCCGGGACTCGAACTGCAGTTGACTACATAGGAGTTCAGTGACGTAGCCATTACACCATCTGCTGGTCCCAAGTTTATAATTTCTTATTCCTAGTTTTTTGGCATTTGAAATAGCTTTTCTGAATTTAAAAAAAAAAAAAAAGAAAACCTATTTTCCCCTTATTCTTTAAATTAATTTGTTGAGGTATCTGTTGGGAATAGAATTGTGGTTTAACACTGATATTTATCTGCTTTTCAATATTGCTGCTGGCAAACCAATGGTCAACCTAACCATTGTTACCTTGTGTATAATTGCTATTTCTCTCTGTGGCCATCTTTATACTTGAGTACATTTTGTAGTTTACTATGTTGGGTCTAGATGGGGATTTAATTTTATTAGCCTTATTTGGGTTTTATTAGGCTTCCTGAGTCTAAAGACTGATATTTTTTCATGTGTTTTGAAAACTTTCTGCCATTCTCCTCTCTAATATTGCATCTACTCCATTGCCTCTTATCTCCAGCAATTTCTTTCTTTTTTAAAATACATCTTATTTATTTTAAAGAATTATGTCATCTAACTTTATTTTAATTTGATCATAGGGGGACAGAGCAATAGCGAGAGCAAGAGAGAGAGTGTGGCGAGCACTGCATACGGGAGCCATCTCGAGCTATCCGCCATCTTGGAAACCATTAGGCTTCACTTCCTCACTGAGCAAACCGTTTCTCAGAAATCATGTGATCAACCGTTCTCCCCGGAAGTGGTTGGGTTTCTAGGCAACGAGAGAGATCCACCCACAGCAATGATTGGTTCATGCTGTTCTATCTCATTTGCATTTCGGGCAACCAATTGGTGCCCACCAGCTGTATATAACTTGCCATTTTTCCTGAATAAACGGAAGTAGACGGAAGAAGACGACTTGACCAGCACCTCGTAGTGTGTGTGCGTGTTTTTGTCCCATCTCTCACTCCCTCCCCCAAGGAACCTGTTCCACGGTCCCGCAGGCCGAGACAAGAGAGAAAGTGAGAAAGCAAACTGCCAGGTCCGGGACTCGAACTGCAATCAGCCATGTGGGAGTCCAGTGACCCTAACCACCATACCACTTGCCGGCTCCATCCAGCAATTTCATTTAAGGGCATATTGGACCCTACTGGTCTCCTATGTCTCTTAAATTCAAATTCATATTTTCTGTTTCTGTGTGGCATTCTGGACTATTTCTTCAGACCTTTCTATGTACTATGGTATATTGAGCTGTGTGTAATCTGCTACTTTCTGAGTATATTATAGTTAATTTCTGGAAGTTATATAGTTAGCCCTCTCTATCCTACAGGTTCTGCCTCTATAGATTCCATCGACTGTGGAAAACATTGTCGTTGCTAACATGCACTATGTAGTTAGGCCTGCAATGGCTGTGTCTATACTGAACACACACAAACTTTTGTCATTATTCCCTAAACAAAATAGTATCACAATTATTTATACAGCATTTCCATTGTGGCATGTGGTATAAGGAATCTAGAGGTGATTTTACATATATGGGAGGAGGTTCAAGGTTATATGCAAATACTGTGCCATTTTATAGAAGGACCTTGGGCATCTCCAGCTTTTGGTATCTATGGGGGGTCTTGGAACGAGTCCCCCACAGACACTGAGGAATGACTGAGTGGATTTGGCACTTTTCCCAATATGGCTGGCCAATTCTGAACGTTTTTCATTCCTTTGTCAAACTTTAATACTCTTACTTTTAAATATATGGATTGGGACCAGCAGATGGCATAATGGTTACGTTCCTGGACTCCCACGTATTGGACTGTGGTTGACCCAGCCATATGGGAGTCCAACACCTTAACCACCACACCACCTGCTGGCCCTGGTAACCGTCATTTTAATCCAAACCGTTCTTATATTCTTACAGTGTAACTCATTGGATTATGTTGAAAATGGTACTTTTACTACGCTATAGTAGGATTTTTTTTAACATTTAGGATTTTTACAACTACATTCATAACAGAGATTAGTTTACAAAATTTTAAATAACTATTTAACTTGTTATTACTGTTTTTTAAATTTTGACTACAGAGAGAGAAAGGGAAAGTGAAAAAATAAGCCCCCAGTTCCAGGACTTGAACTGTGGTCAGCCATGTGAGAGAGCCTAATGCCTTAACCACCATGCTACTTGCTGGCTCCTACAAAACTTTTTTAAATGTTACCTTTATCAGGCTTTGTTATAAGGAACAGGCAGCTTCATCACATTAATTATGTAGTGGGGTCTGACAGTTGTGCAGTGATAATGCAGCAAGACCTACATGGGAAGGTCCTATACAGAGACCGCCATATATATATATATATACCTATATATATAATATATATATAATAGAACAGATGAATAAACTTTAAAAAACTATGTAGTTTTAAAGGTTTTTCTGGGCTTTTATTTATGTACACAAGAATTAGCGGTTACTTGAAAATTTGACAGAACATCGGGAAACTTCCCTACCTCCTCCTTCTCCAAACATTAATTTGATCTTTTCTAACAGTTATTTTCATGCCCAAGCTTTCTCTTTGTGCATTCCCTTTTGTTCCTGTCTTTGCGAACAATTTTTTTTAAGAATAATTTTATTTAACTTTATTTATTTATTTATTTATTTATTTGACCACAGAGGGACAGACTGAGAGGGAGGGAGAGGGAAAATAAGAAAGCAAGCCACCAGGTCTGGGACTCAAACCAAGGTGGACCATGTGGAAGCCCAGTGCCCTTAACCACCATGCCACCTGCCAACCCCTTTAAACAATTTTATTCATAAAGATTCTCAATTTTCAAAGTATAATTTTAGTTACATACCCTGTCATCCTGGATAATCTGTATTTATCCTATTGCTCAATTAAACTTATCAACAATCTATGATATAAGATTTTCAACTTCTGGATGTATGGTTTAAATTTTTTCTGTTTTCTTTGTTTGTTTGTTTTTTTCTAAATTACCCTAAATAAAGAGCTTCAACTTTAGCCTTTTTAAAAGAATTTTTTAAATTTAATTTATTCATTCATTTATTTTAATTTGACCAGATATGACACACACACATACACACACACACAGTGAGAAAACAAGTCACCAGGTCCGGAACTCGAACTGTGGTCAGCCATGTGGGAATGTCCAGCACCTTAACCACCACGCCACCTGCTAGTCACCTGAGCTTTATCTTAAAAGCTATGGAGAGCCACAGAAGGAGCAGCATGATTAAATCCACACTTTAAGAACATCCCAGTAGTCCATGAGAGCAGATAAAGGGAGCCTAAGTGATTAGAAGCAGGGCAAAGGCAGGAGCTTAACATGCAATTCAGGGGGAAAATGAGAACAGCACCAAAGAGGGTGGTAGCAAGGCCAAGGAGCAGC